GGGTCAACATTTCCTGGACAGCACCATCTGCTAGAATGCAGGAGGCGTAGCGTGACGAGTTGAAGTAAAAGAAGTACAGAAGCCATTCGCTTTCAAGGTTCGAATAATCATCCATCTTTCGTTCTCCATCTTCTACTGCAGCACTTTCAGATATGACAAGGCTTGTTTTGTCTTTCAAATAAGGTTGCGATGTGTGGAGTTATTTTGTGCTGCGAGCAAGAATTCAGAGCTGCAGAAATTGATTCTCAACTCCTTTCATACCTTTTCTTAGAGGACTCACAGCCATCAACTGGAAGCTACATCGAAATTCTGGCTACATCAAACATCTTTGTGCCGAATTGCGATGGTCAAAAATGAGAGGAATTATGGTGAGCATATATACCGCCTTGATCTCTGGTGAATAGTTTCCAGATTCTAAACCTCTCGAGCATCTCACTACGAACAGCGATGGGAGACGAGAAGAATCCTCCAGTAAAACCAATGGGTGGTGGAACAGCAACGAGTTGCGGTATCGATGGTGGAGAAATCGAGAATCCTGAGCGGCCTGGGAACAACAATCCCGAACCAAGCGAATACCCCACAGACCAGCCCTTGGATCCAATCGTCCAATCAGGGGGAGAAGAAGCCAATGTTGAAAGATCCGATGTTGAAGGGTCCGAGGCTGGCGATGAAGGTAGAGATTCTGACAGCGACGACCTGGCAGACTTCAACGACGACTCAGACAGCAACGACGGGTGGCCATTTGGTGATGACAAGGTGGATGGAGAGATGAATGGAGAGGTGACGGCGGACCCAGAAAATGTACAGTCTCCAGCCAGCATCATTGACCGACCACCATCTCCAATCCCTGAACTGGGGCTTCCAGATGAAGATATTGCTATCGCTCTCGACCTCCAGGCAGAATTCGATCGAAAGAGACTACAAGAACTCTTTGCCAATCTCGTCCATCGCGACAGAAGAACCTATCAGATTGAAAGTGACAGTACAGAGACGACTTTACTTAGATCGAGTACTGTGGTCGATCCTGAAGGTTCGGCGTTGAAAGCAGACGATCAAGAAGTTCAAGCTGACAACAACGAATAAAACACCGCTCAGACCAGTAGCAATACCCAAAGCCAAGATTCTAGTCTCAAAGCAAAAGGAAAAGAGGTCGAGCAGGATACCCAAACGCCAGAGAATCAAGCTACCGAACCGAGCCCCAAAAAGGTTGCACCGTGGCTAGCCAATGACGATTCAGCTCACAAGCCTACCCAAAGCAAGAAGAAATGGAACAAGAAGCCTCAGAAGCAGAGAAGGAAGGAGAGGAAGAAGCAGCTGGCCGAGGAAGAAAAGAGCAAGTCCAAGAGTGAAACGTCGCAGCCCCCTGCCGCAACTGAGGAGAGTAAAGTTGCCAAAGATGTGCGAGATGCCCAAGGGAAATCGAAGGCCGAATTGAATGATCAGGAAAGGGTGAAGCAAGTTTGCGACGAAGTTCAAACCAGTGGTGGGCTGTCAGCTCCTACTACCACCTCAGAAGCTTTGGAGCAAAATTCGGCTGGGCAGGCTTCAGTTGATGGGTTGGGCCCCGAGCAAGATGTAGCGGAGCTGAGACATCAGCAGGCATCTGGAGAGGAAAGCTAAAGAAGTGGGGTTGAGGGGAATGGTGAAAAAATAACGTCTCAGAATGATCAACATGTTGCTGGCGAGGATACAACTATTGGAGGAGGGAGCGTACATTTAGATAGAGGCTTGGTGGTCAAGAAGGGGAGGAAGACCAAGTTGTGAAAGTAGCAAAGATTTCTAGTACGATAGCGGCGGTGGAGAACAAGTAGAAAGATGGTGCGACTTGAATTGCCTCGACTAGGGGTAAATTAAAGATAGAGTTGATTGCTGAGAGACTAATGAAGGATAGGACTAATTTTGATTGTCATTTTTATTTCTCTTCCTAGTTAGTAAGTTAAAATCGTTAATAATAAATTCAAAGTTAAAACAAATCTTAATAAGCTAAATTAAGCTTATATTAATGCCTTCGACTCGAGTAAAAGAACAAGACTCAGCGACGTAATTATTTTTAAGAATTAATAATTATAACTTATAGCTAGACTGTTAGCCTTAATAGTTAAATAAGTAGCGAAGCTTACACCTGAAATCCTGGCGATCCCGCTTAAGCTCGTTATTAAAAGCTTAGTAAAAGCTAAATATCTTAACTTCGGCGTTATATATTCTGCCGTTCTCTTCCTTAAAGTCATATACCTTTATATCTGAAGACTTAGTTTAGCAATCATCCTCGATATTGCCGAGATCCGAGAATAAACAGAGGAAATTAGTCTCAAGCGTTTTATTGAGACCTACGCTACTTGAAGCGGCTTCTTCATTTAGTGATTCAATGTCAGGAGGATCATAGCAGGATCCCTTGTTGGGAAGTCAATTCAGAACTGAAATACGTCAACTGGGTAGAGGTATGCATTCAGAGGGAATCTGGGATCTTTGTCATTGATGGTAGTCGAGCCTGCATCAGCAGTTTCTACATCGCCTTCGCTTGGTGGTGTATATTCGGAGTCCAGTCGTACCACATCTTTGAACCAGTTGGCACGGTGCTCTGTCATAAGTTAAAGAGACCTCCTATCACGATAGTTGTAGATTGATCTGACCAGTTTTTGGATCTCGTGGACCTTTGAAGAGATCTCCCCAGAGCTCAATTCATTAGAAACCCTGCGTAGAATCGACGTCTTCAATGCGGCAACCTCTTTACCAGAGCGGAACTTGTCTGAAGAGATATTCACGGACTGTCGACACTTATCCTTCAACTATATTCGTAAGTCATTGAACTTGACCTCTCGTTCTTTGCATAATGCGATATATTCTGCTTCCTTCTGGACGGTTTCGAAAATGAATTTTGGAGTCTTTTTGGGGGCATCTTCGCGCATCGCAAATCTTACACTCCGCAATGTATCAATTTGGTTAGATCGTATATTGCCGTCTGTCGCTAAGCCTTGCAAATCGACTCTCATGTGATTAGACAAATACTTCTGGAACACATCGCGTGTCCCATGCCCGAGCTGTTTGACCAACTCGGCTTCGCTGGCGATCACCGATCGGAAAGTAAGCCACAAATTCTAGAAGTCAACCTTGTGATAAGAACCTACTATGTAGAATGTTTGCAGATCCTCTTCGCATATCGTAGGGGGTTAGATGGTCTATCAATCCCGCAGCTAAGCTTGGCCGCTTTAACGCAGCTGTCATAGAACCACATGTCCATGCCAGAGTATCTGAGATTTTGTTGCTGCTACTGCTCTCAACCATGCGAAGGAACGGGATATCATTCAGAGATTCCTTGAACGGAACTTCTAGACTGTCTCGTCCCGGCGGTAGTCGAAAGGTATATACCTTTTCTGAAGACTGAAAGTATTTCCAAGCGTCGTCTACATTTGCTAACGCAAGGAAGTCTAGAATCGGGCAAAGCTCAGGATTTTTTCTATTCTATCTTATCGTGATTTCCGTGCTGATAGTCGTTAGTACACCTTTAAATAACAGGCCGTAGTTGTCTCACTATTCCTTGGGTTTCTTTCTATTTCCTTTCATAGGGTTAAACCTCGCAGTAATAGTGATTTCTGGGCGACCACCGCCTTTAGGGTCACGGAGACTCATATCCTAAATACTTTCAGTACTGGTAACATCCCAATCCCCACGTCTTGAAGCGTCGCCAGGCGTTTCGGTCTGGCCTTGTTGAACAGACCTGTGGCTGCTTCCACTGTCTCGACATACTCCAATTACTTAGTATTCAGCATTATTGTGTATTAAACTACCAGACTTACAACCTTTACTCACTTTATAACTTTAGTGGTATCTGTTAATCAGATCTGGTATTGTTTGCTCTCCCAAGAACCCAGACAAAGTGTGCCAAATACTCTGTTTGGGGCGCTTCGAGTGCATCTCGCCGGTAGCATGTAGCATACCACATGAAGAACACCTTCATTCGTTCCTCGGTAAGCGCTTCGCCATCTCGGAATGGGGTGTGGTCTCGTAGCGTGTCTTTAAAACTTTAATAGAGTCAGCTAGTGGTTTAAATATAGAGATATAGAACTGACATTTCCCATTTGCGCCAGATGTTGTCTCGAGCAGACGTAGTCGGCAGCGCAGGAAGTTTGATCCTACAGCAATTGTCGGACCCGACACTACATCCTCAAGATGAGCAAGAAAGTCGAATCTTTGTGCTTTAGGCATTCTGAGGGTGTTTTGTTGATATCTTTTGTAAGGCTTTTCGCTGGGTTGACAGTTGACTCAAAGTGCAAGGAGAATCGGCTCCTGGAGAGGGAGAAGAAGCAGAGAAGCTGGCTGTGGGCAAGGCATGATTTCAGGGGACCAATGGTATCTGAAATAAGTATGGTCTACGCCATGGCAAGGAGCATGTCTAGGATGTTGTTTGAACGATGAGAGGGGTGCTTCTATAAGCGAATTTAAGCGAAGGCAGTTGGGTGGTCCGCCAGTGTACGGGAAACGGTAACTCAGAATGTGCAACTTGTCATAGCCCGCAGCCCCGCAATAGTTCTTCCCCCAAAGAATTCGCGCGCGCTTGGCTACTGGACTTGCAATGACGGGTTTACGTTCCTAGACTTACGACCCTCTGTTAATTATTTGAATTTCGTGCAACCGAGCTCAGATTTCATACTTCGGAAAAGTTAGATAGTGCTTCCTCCTGAATATACAATAGCTGTCGTTCGATTCCCCCACAACCTTTCGACGTTCTCCGTCTTTGTTTATATACGGAAGAATGCAAAAATGTTACCTGGCACGTCCACCTCGTGCAACTTTCGTCTTCCGTGTTCCGTCTTTACTTTGGCTGTGGGCCATCAACTCACCATCTTCACGCTCTTTCCGTCTTCCCGTCTTCATTGACCTGGTAGATTCTAGCACCCATCATTGTCGCGCGCCCCGCAGTCGTCGAAGAAGTTGCCTTGAGTTCGATGAAGTTATCTTGAGCTCAAATAGCGTGAGGCCGCTCATTGGACGTTGTCCCCCCTGGCCGGATAGTTCAGTGGTAGAATACATGCTTTGGGATTCAAATCAAATTCTGTATGTGGTCTTGGGTTCAATCCCCAATTCGGCCCTCTATCCATTATCATTTTTTTTTCTCCTTTCCTTCATTTTTGCCCCTTGAACTGCGAAATTATTAGTGGGTATCGATCTCGGCAAACAGTTTTTGCTTCTCGTTTCTTAGCGAGACTACTTTAGGGCTAGTGATGAGATCAGAATTTTCAAGTATCATTTTTTGGTGCTTAAGGGATGTCCATTTCATCATGGGCATGTCGTAATTCAACTCTGTCCCAGGGTGTCTCAACGGCAATCTGCGTTTAGCCGAATTTTACGACAACTGAGTCATTAAGTGCCAAATGAGTAACCCCACATGATGCCACCTTTAAATATTCTATCATAGTTATAATTTCTTGGCGGTGTCCCTTTTTAACTTGTATTGTTTTCTTTTAAGCGTTCAAATCTAAGATTCGGCGTTGAATTTGAGATGTGGATTTCAATTGCCATCTCCAAGCTATGCCACTCATTTAAGCGAAGGAAAACAAAACAAAGCGAGGCGAGATCTACCTATAGAGATATTTCATGAGTTACACTGCATATAGTAATCCACAATCAAAAGAGTAGATTTCTAATGTTGCCGAACTTCTGATTTTACAATTCCCAACAAGCCAGTGGCTAGTCTGGCTCTAACATGCCAGAAACTGAAACGATCTGCGCCACCATTCTTGGATCTTCCATGAACTGGTTCGTCAATTCCTTGTAAATACCCGGGGCTTGTATTGGCTTCAACCTCAATTGTCTCAATCATCAATCGCAAGCACAACTCTCTCCCCATCATTAATTTGGTTGTGAGAAAATCAGTCTCACTACCAGCAACAAATACAGAAACTTACCATGCCTAGGATTCCACTCAGCATCCAACGCTCCCTCTCATCCGGCTCATGTGGTGCAAGCGCCAACTCCGCAGAACACAAAACTGCCTGCCGGATATAATCTACACAATGTATGAAATGGAAATGCCAGTCCCCTAGGAGGATGTTATCCGGAATTTGCTGTGTAGTATTCAGGACGATGCCAGAGAAGATGCGCGTCATCATGTAGACGCAATGGAGTTGGTGTATCATGGATCTGGCGAAGCAGGTATTTGTTGGGCCTGAGATGGCGCGGCCGGTTCTGGGGGGCATGAATGTGTTCCAATGGGTGATAGTTAAGGGGTCGAAGAATTTTGTGGTGTTGAAGGGAGCGAAGAGGGGGTCGGAACTGAATTTTGCAGCAATAGTTAGGACTGAGATGAATTGTTAGTGTTCCATTGGATTAGTTTTGGTGAATGTTGTAGATGTTGGACCAGCTCCTGTGTAATCTCCTCCAACCTACCAAGATGCAAAAGTTGACTTCTGTTCGCTCTATTCTTGCCGTAGGAAAATTAGGAGAGCGATGATTACGAGCAGTAATGAGGTATCTAGTATCTATAGATATAACGTGAGATTCCACATGCAAGTCTCCCACTTCAACTTCCTGCGGTGCTGTGAGGGCATTTCATGTCCAATTAAGGATTCATCGACTTCAGTGGCCGAGAAAGAGTCATCGTGATCGTGCTTCTTCGTCGTGTAGACATTCTTGTAAATTTGATGCGATTCCATGGTAAAAATCTAAGGAAATGACCCAAATCAAGGCTGTGTTTAGTCTTTCGAATCTTGAAGTCAAAAAAGTGCTAGGGAAGAGGAACAGGGAAGAAGATAAACCGCAACGCCGCAACCTGGTATAATATGTTTTCTAGGCTAGTCTTGCCGACTTTCTGACCACATAGACTTTATCGTATATTATTCGACGTCGTCATGTCATCGATAGTTTCGGGTCAGGCGTTCAGGCTTGAGATATGATGTTTCCAAACATGTAGCGTCGCACGATTGTGGATAAGTGATATGCGATACGGGATGTTGTTCCCCACATGTTTGGAAAACGTGTGCAAACGGCAAAATAGGCTTGCAAACCTTCATAGTAGAGGAAAAACTAGTAATCATAGAGTATTCTGATAGGGCCATGAGAAAGATAATTGAAATAGGCATATGTCGTGTTATATACTGCAACTGCGATCAGCAAAGTCTGGGCGAAGAACTTTGCGAACGTCAGACCCGGCATTCTGTAACGGTTCAAAACAGATAGATCATAGCAGGAGTCCCAGTTGATCATGAGAGTATGTCGAGGAAGACATTCTCCTCTCGGCGACAGTCTTACAGCATCTAAAAGTTGCTTTACTCAGCCCTAGCGACTTTCCACAAATACGAGTTCACTACGGACTTAGACTGATGCACGAGTTCGAGCTGCTATCTTCCTCAAAGATTCCACCAAAGATAACCCCTTCATTGATACCAGAAGGTTGCTTTCCACTCTTCGTGATGTCCGAGCCAGGATTAACTGGCTTCTTCAAGATGCCGAAATGGTATTGTCCTTGCCCCGCGATATTATTCGTGACGGCCTTACTGACTGAAGCCAGAGAAGTACTGCCTGTCGAATAGTACACCTGAGTGGTTCTATCGCAATTGAATTTAGCACCTACTTGAACTAGACTTGTTGCAAATTGCGAAACTAAAGATAGCTAACTCACCCTTTCGCGAAATCCAACACGATCCCAAAATTATGCCACATGCCCGGCGTGAACCTCGTCGAGAAAATCGTACTAATCGGCTTTGTATTGACATTCCCCTGCAAGAAGAGCGTATCTGGATTCGCGCCCGACGGGTTCCCGCCGATGATGGTGCCATATTTGAGGACGATTTGGTTGGTGCTGTAGTCGCTGGATTCAAGAAAGAAGAGCTGGTATTCGTGTGCGGTGTCGAGGGGGCGGGCGGTGTCTTTCATGATGGAGAAGTGCATTGTTTTGGTGCCGGTTGTGGAGGCGTCGGTGCCGCTGTTGGAAAGGGGAAGAAGTTCAGCGCGGCGGAAACCGGTTTGCGAGTTGAAAATCGATTTATCGCTAGAAGGGAGGATTTAGTTGGGGATATTGACGGGCGAGCTATGGGGATGTACTTTATTGTCACTTCGATTGCTTTTTTCCCAGTGGAGTCGAACTTTTTTGTCAGCTGTGGGATGTACGGCATGGATTTGGACCTTACGAGTGATGAGTTGACGGAAGGGAGTTGCAGCACACCGCTCCATTTCAGGTCTATAAATATAAGAATGAGATAGAATAGCTACTGTAGAAGTACTTACTGGCACCCAGTACATACTGAGCATTGAATGGACTTGAACTGCTATCGAATGTTGCCAGTGTTGCGTCTTTGGGAACTCGTCCATCAAATTGAAGTGGGCATTTTTGTGCAGCAACACTTGCCACCAACACGAGTATCGAAATGGGATACATCATTCTTGAACATGGAGAAGAAAGAACAGAATTAACGGGCAGGAATACGCAAAGTAAAAAGTTGGATTGAAAGAAAGGTTCTCAGGACAGCTTGCAAGATCTGCATGTGGGGACCCAAGCCAGGTATCTTTCAGCCTGTCGGTAATCTGAGTGAGCCTGATTGCGAGCCATATGGAGCCAAGATACAATTGGAATGGATCTAAATCCTTTCTTGCTTGGATGAAGCTAGAACGGTCCAAGTAGATTGATCGAGGCACGTGACCCATTTCCATCTACACTCCCTTTCTTGGTCTTCGGAATATAACATGCTCATCTAGGCATATGATGTCGTTTGTGTCAATCGAAATCGCGTGGGCGCTCCTTCGGCAGGTGAACGTAACAAATTTACGCAAAGAAAGTCTCTGTCATGAAATAAGCAGTGAAAGATCGACATGATGTTGACAATATCTCCTTCAATATGGATATAAGAAAGCCACACCTTCCAATTGGACTCTTTACATGTCGTGCATCTCGTGAGTCGCATCCTTTAAAGTGATACTGAAACCCCGCGATAAGTATTCAGGCTGCTGGTACTATTAATCTGGATAAAAGGTAGCATCATATGGGAATGAGATCCTGCATTTACACACAAGACGTGAAGACAAGCTTTTCGGATATACAACACCATACCTTAATGACAGCCGTGTGTTATTCGGGTACTAATTCCACCGTTTTGAATGTCTGTGTGTGCGCTGAATGGTTCACGTGACGTTGAGATTCTGGGATTTCTCGACTAGATGGAGACGGCCTTCAAAAGTTGAGGCATCTAGACGCATGGCTAGAATCACCAATTGACATACTCGAGAGTTCATATGAGACAGAATTATTGTCATCAAAAGAAGTATTTTACAATTCCGAGCAAAGCTTGCTCAGAGCCTCCGAGGGAGGCGGCGTCGTAAGCGAACTGGAAAAGGGGGCTAGCAGTGAACGTGAGGAAAACCTTCTCATATTCCCTCAATGTCAACAAAAGACATCGTGTTTCCTCAAATACGTTCCTTTGCCTTGAATGATTTGTACGCTTTGATTTTACTTACCTTCAAGCAAGTTCAAACCCATCCCCATCCAGACCATAGGTAGATGTATTCCACGTGATAGCCCCTGCTAGCAGGGATCTGGATAAGGTGCGCGGATTGTGCGGTGCGAGAATTGTGCGTTGCGATGATTATGCGGTGAATCGCCACAACCATCATCGAATTCATCAATATCAGCCAGAATTATCAATCAAATGAATTTTCAGCGTACATCCGAGTTGTATGTGTGTGTCATAGGTGGAGATATAAGTCACAGACGTATTCACTTTTCTTCTCGCAGCTTCTCCCAATTCCAGTCCTGCTTTCCTTTCTACCTATACATCTCCAACTTCTCCCATCTCCATCTCGCCTTCCTTATCTACCCCAAGCCTCCAAGGCAAGATAAAAGCGAGTGCGACTATCATTTGCGATGGCTTCGCTATCACCAGCAACCGCAGAGAAGATGTCTCATTCGACAGTCACACCAATTACAAACATGGTTACGACTTCATTTATTCTGTCCAATCTCCATTGTCCATCCTGCGTGTCCCACATCCAAAATACACTATACGCCCTCGATCCTCCGCCAGCCACCGTATCACCATCTCTTGTCTCGTCTGTAGTCACCGTTGAACACAACTCGGTTTTACCAGTTGCAAACATTCAA